GAAAATTCAGAAGGTAGCCAACAATGGATACAGAATGGGAGAGGACTAAGGAGAGGAAGTGAAGGAGGGTGGCCCAAAATAATAAAGCTCATTGAGGGTATGGCTTTAAGGCAACTGGGGACGCTTGAGAACCAAGATGATGGTGGGGAGGACTGGAGGGCTCAATAATTCGAGTCTTCGGGTAAAATCTTCCCAGGCATTACAAATCTGTGTTGCAAGAGGCAGCCCTCCTTCAAAATGATGGGGGGGAGGGCAGTATCTGGGCGATAGATAAGGGCCCCTCCTATAATTCTCACTAGAGGGCAGGGCTATACAGAGCTCCAGCTCGAGGCAAGATTTTTTTTTTTTTTTTTTGAGTCATAGAGTCTCACTCTGTCACCCAGGCTGGAGTGCAGTGGCTTGCTCACGGCCACTGCAGTCTTGACCTCCTGGACTCAGGTGATCTTTCTGCCTCAGCCTTCCAAGTAACCAGAAGCACAGGCGCGAGCCACGGGCCCAGCTAATTTTATGATTTACTGTGGAGACGAGGTTTCGCCAAGTTGCCCAGGTTGGTCTCAACCCCAGGGCCCCCTTGGCTAGGGCGGGGCCTAGATGACATTAAAGGTGGAACCTCCTGCCCGCCAAATCTGTGCTGGAGGGCGGGGCCTGGAGGCAGGAGCAGGGTCTCGGCAGGGAAGAGTGAAGCCCCGAAGCCTCGACCCAGACTCACCGGAGCTCCGAGAGCACCCGACCCGCCGGGACCGAGGCCGGGACCACGCCTCCCCCACGCGGCCCGGCGCTCACCTCTGCAGCGCTTCCGCCTGGCTCCGCAGCGCCGCCCGCAGGCGCCCCAGCTCCTCGCAGCGGTCGCCGCCGTCCGCCGGCAGCACGAACACAGCCGCCGCCCCCAGCCCCGCGCCGCCCAGCAGGGCCGCCGTCTGGTCCCGCGCCTGGGCGGCGTGCTGCGAGTCCCCGGGGCGGAGGTTCCGCACCGCCAGCAGCGGGGTGCCCCGGGCCAGCGCCGCGCGCGCTGCCTCTCCCAGCGCCGGGGCCAAGGGCTCCCCGCGCCCCTCGGGTCCCGGCAGCACCAGCACCAGCACGTCGGCCTCGGCCGCCCAGGGCCCCGGCGCGGCGGGCGGGCAGCTCAGCTCGC